TCAGAGTATCCCAGGAGCTGGAAAGGCTCCATTTTCTGTTGTGGAGATTGGACACATCATAAGGAAGAGGTGTTTGTTCCTCTCACAGTTCTGAAGGTCAAAGGTTTAAGACTGGGTGACCTATCTGCCTGGAACCCAGTGAGGACCCCTTGGCTGCATCATTTTGCGACATCATGGTACCTGTTAGAGGCAGAGATTGCATGGAGGCAGTGATCCAGAAGAAATGGAGAGGAGGAGCCACACTCTGTTCCTCTATGCCCAATGTCCCATCTCTGAAAGGTCTCAGCACCTCTTAGCCCTGGGACCCTCAAGCACGGGCATTGTGGGGCACACTAATCCATGCCCATCACAGCAGAGACCACAGCATCATCACCACGTAAAATATCACTGGAAAGAATCCATTTTCTCTAGCAGAAGGATAGGACTTGAGACATAACTGAGTCTTCATTAAGATGCTTAGCTTTGGAAATCCTGGGTTTGGAGCCTTGGGATGAGAGCTCTGGACACTTTCTAAACACGCTCGCCAATGCTTGTATCTTCCCAAGGCAGACAAAAGAAGCGGGAGGATCTACCAAGGGGAGATCGCAGAGTGGAGATTTGATTTTTCTTTCAGCAGTCTGCACTCTTGCTCCTGGACAGGTAAGGACTGCTTCGGTCAGTCTCCATCTCAGCGCTGGGACCGCTCTCACATGGGAGAGGTGAACGCAGGGCCAGCTCCCTTCCTAGAAGAGGACTCAATAACCTAGAGTCTCTGAAAGAACTGGGGCTGAGGTTTGTGCTTGTGGAATTTTAATAAGAGGGGTGAGAAGAGGAAAGAGAGTGAAAGAGGCAGAGAGAGACAGAGACAGAGAGGTTGAATCTAGGTAAAGTTTTGTAGTATTTACAAACTCTAATTTTTCCTTCTTATTTTTATTTTATTTTTCCATTGTCCATTTTTTATGTATGTGGTGTGTATGTGTATATGTGTATGCATGTGGAGGCCCAAGGTTGATCTCATTCTCCATCACACTTCCACCTTATTAATTAAGGCAGGGCCTTTCAATCAAACCCAGAGCTGGCCGATGTGGCTAGTTTTGCTAACTAGCTTGATCTAGAGATTCCCCTATTTCTGCCTTCCAATGGACCATCCAGATTTTTTTTTTTGAGATAGAATCGCTCTCTGTAGCCTCACCTTTCTTCACTTTGTAGACCAGGCTGGCCTTAAACTCATATGCTAGACCAGCCATTTATGATGGTCCTGGTTTCCATCCTCATACTTGCATAGAAAACACTGTGAGTCAGCTCCCCAGTCCAGGCCTCAGTTCTTCCTCAGTAACACAGAGATCATAATGTAAATCTAGGAGTTGTTTTAAGAACTCAGTGAGATGTTATATGTAGGGCACATACCCACCACTTGCTGAGTGACAGCCAATAGGAATTATCATGAGAACATTTAAGACTGGTAGACCGAGTGAACTGGGCTTTTGGGAAAATAAGTGAATTATACTATTTGTTATTGAAAGCCAACAAACATCAAATACGAGTAGGGTAGATACTGTTAAGCACACCTGGCAGCAGGCTCCCAGGCCATGACCATAGCAATACAGGACCGTTGGTGACTCACATGTATCTCTAGAGAGTATTAACCGGTCCCTGTTCTGTGTTGGACACTGGTAAAGGAGGAGAGGATTCATCAGCCAATGGGCGATGTCCTTGATCCCTTGGGACAAACACAGAAGGATTTATGTGCAGCAATTAAACCAACAAAGTCATTTCTGATGGTAATGATGGCTCTGGGAACATTTCCCTTTCGGTAGAATGCAGCTGCCAAGCCCTTGGGGGCTGAGGCCACTCTGCCTGCCTGTGCACACACAGGGCTCCCGGGCCAGTCTTCTGGTTGATTGTATCCTATAGTCTTCAGGTCCTTGGAATACAGAGTGCCTCTGAGTGTGAGAGAGCCTGGAAGGTATCCTTTCCCTCCTTCTGGGATCATGCTAGCAACACTTACGTTTTGAAGGACTTCTTTGCCATAAAATTTGGATGTTTCCGCCCCACTCAATGCTTCCTTGTGCCTCCCGCTTGGGCTGGCCTCCTTGCTGCTTGCAGAGTCCTTGGGAAGCACATGTTTATTAGTTAAACAGAAATATGCTAACTCCTCCCCCCCCCCCCTTCCGCACAGAAAGGCATCTCTGGAAATAAAACCAGTCAAGGCCAAGTGCCTGGGGGTCAGGAGCGGCGCTGCCTGCCAGGTCTTTCAAGTTTGATTTGCTGCCATCCAAAGCTGGCATTTCTGGCTTGGGATTGATGGCACAGGAAGCTAAGTATACCCTGAGGTCAGGGAACCCACTCTCTCTGAAAGCTACCAGTTCCTTGAGGGCGGGCAGGTCACTATCACTCTGGCTCAGTTCCCTCAGCTGTGAAATGGGATGTTTTAAAAGTTACTGTGGCGAGAAAACAAGGGAAGATGATTGTTCTATTTAACTTTAAAAGAATTTATTTGTTTTTATTTTTAATTCTGTGTCTGGGTTTCTGTGTGGGGGGTATGTGCATGAGTGTAGTTGTCTGTGGAGGTCAGAAGAGGTTATTGACTTCTCTGGGCTGGAGTGACAGATGCTTGGAAGCCACTTGGGGTTGATGAGCTGGATCTCTAGCATGTTCTAGGTCCGCTCAAAGTGAGCTCAGGACCGACCTCAGCTTTCTGGACCTCAGTCATTGTGATGAACGTTGACCAACCAGTGTGGTTAGAATATAACAATACGGCAGTAGTAGCTGGCCCTCCTGAGTCTAGTGTTCTCAGCACCCGTGTCTCATTCATACATATAGTCTAGAATATGTATATGTATGCATATACATATATTCTAGTTTTTTAAAATTTAATTTTAATCTTATCCACCTATTCAGTTTCTTCCTTTTTACAGACAGGAATTGAGATCCAGTGGTAGACATGGGATTTGGAACTGAGTCTCTGATTCCAGAGCTTATGCTTATATTAAAATTACTGAACAGTCGGGCGGTGGGGGCACACACCTTTAATCCCAGTACTCCGGAGGCAGAGGCAGGCGGATCTCTGTGACTTCAATGCCAGCCTGGTCTACAGAGCTAGTGCCAGGACAGCCTCCAAAGCAATACAGAGAAACCCTGCCTTGAAAAATCGAAATAAATAAATAAAAATAAAATTACTAAACAACCATAAAAAAACAACAAAACCATGGTAATGGTAGTGAAGGTAGGTGTTGAAGGGATGCTAGACCCACTGTGATCTGGGAAGCACATGATTCTGCCTGCTGTGCACATAGTCTGGGACATAGGCATGGTTTCTGTTCAGTGACCTGGGGGGGGGGTGTACCTCGTCTTCTCAAGGTTCCACAATTGGTGAGAGAAACAGCCAAAATGCATGTCCGTGTCCTTTCTGTATCATAGGCTGTTTCCATAGCCCCTGGAGATGGCCGTGATGGCCGCCTCTCTGAGAAGTGTGTGCTGAGCAGACAGGTGGTTCGTAGCAAACTACCGTCCCTTGAAGGGCACTTCAGGCCTGTGCTTCTGGCTTTCTCCCGTTCAGTCTTCTCCCACGGACCAACATTTTTGAAACCTCCTTGTCTCTCAGTCTGGTGGGAACACTAAATGCTAAAACGGTTTGAAAACCTACACTCTCTACCTTTGGAAGGCTGAAAAAGGAATCAAAACCACAAAAGCGTTCTGCTGCTGACAAGAAAAGCCTTGTTTGGAAGGAGCTGGACGTCAGTGGGGAACCATGGGTGGGTGTGGAGCAGTTTTCCCTGAGGACTTGATGAAGAAAGTGACCAACAGCTTCTGTGCTCCCCAACCTTGTGGGTGTGGCTGGAACCCATCACCGATGTCCACTGAGACCAGATTGACTACTGTTTTTTTTTTTTATTGAGAATAAGAAAAAAAAAAGTTTCTGCCTCTTCCCAGCCTCCCATTTCTCTCCCCCTCCCCCCACTCCTCTCCCCCTCCCTCTCCAGTCCAAAGAGCAGTCAGGGTTCCCTGCCCTGTGGAAAGTCCAAGGTCCTCCCCCCTCCATCCATGTCTAGGAAGGTGAACATCCAAACTGGCTAGGCTCCCACCAAGCCGGAACATGAAGTAGGATCAAGAATTTTTTTCCAGTTCTATGGGTATTTTGCCTACATGTACGCAAGTGTACTGCATGAGTTCCTTGTGACTATAGAAGCCAGAAGAGGTTATTGGACCCCTCCTACTGGGATTGTGAACCACCACGTGGGTGCTGGGAATTGGACTCTGGTCCTCCACAATCATAACAAGTCCTCTTAACGGCTGAGGCGTCTCTCCATCTCCTAACTTTTATTCTTTAGAGACTATTACTCTTGAAAAGTTGTATTGCGAAACAGCTCTTACCACAGAGGAATAGAGATTTCCATTCTGGAGTGATGGCCTGGGGACAAGATTAGGTTTCCTTAAATTCTGTGCTCCAGTGAGGTAGCAATTTCACAAACCTTTGATAGTAACAGAACAGAGATAGTCATAAAATAACACACTTTTCAAAACATTGGTATGTATGCATAGATGGGTCACAGAAAAGTGGGGAAACTCTGCTATAGGCTCTGGTTGGTTGGGAATGAAGGGTCTGTTGGTACATTCCAAATGACCCATACAATGATCTCAAAAATGTTAGGTGAGACACAGAGGAGGGCAATAGTTGGCTGTTAAGGGCATCAATGATGGACCGTGATGATACGGCTGTGGACTTTGTGACATTCTATCTCTCCACATCCTGAAGCTCTTGTTTTTTAATTTTAATTGTTTTGTTTTTTCATAATAGGGTTTCTCTGTGTAGCCTTGTCCACCCTGGAACTCCCTATATAGACCAAATTGGCCTGAAACTCAGAGATTTGACTGCCTCTGTCACCCAGTGCTGAAATTAAAGATGTGCATTACCATCACCCTGCTCATCATGAAGTTTGATTTTTTTTAAATTTTGTTTTGTGTTTCAAGACAAGATTTTTGTAGTTGGAGACTGTTTGTTTCCCAGCCGCCCAGACCCAAAACAACCACACAGAAACTGTATTATTTAAAGCACTGCTTAGCCTATTAACTTATGCATATTTCTAGCTAGCTCTTACATCTCAGATTAACCAATTTCTATTATTTTATATTTTACCACGAGGCTCATGGTTTACCAGTACTGACACTTGGGTGTCTTTCTCCTTGGGCGGCTACATGGAGTCTCACTGACTCTGCCTCCTTTTTCCCAGCATTCAGTTTAGTTATCCCGCCTAGCTCTATTCTGCCCTGTCATAGGTCCAAGTGGTTTCTTTATTCATTAATCAATCAAAACAACACATATACTGAAGGACTTCCCACATCAGGTTTTTCTGTGTAACAACTCTGGCTATCTGTCAATCAACCTTTGCGAATAGTTTCTTCTAGGAATTTTTGCTTACAAGTATATGTGTACATGCATGCTCTTGGGTGTGGGAGTGGTTCATGTGTATTGTGTGTGTGTGTGTGTGTGTATACATGTGTAGGTCAGAGGACAATTTTGTGGAGGTGGTTCTCTTCTTCCACCTTTATGGGGTTCTGGGGATGTAGCTCAGGTCGTCATCAGGCTTTTTAGGCATAAAGGCCCTTCAAACAGGCCAAGACAGTAGCTTAAATTATTGAGAACATCTGACAAACATTTCACAGACATCACTTATCTGTGTGTCTATTTGAGTTCAAAATTTACAGTCAGTCTTCCATTATCTGTGGACCTAGATCCAAACAAATGAAGATTTAAAATGCTGAAAAAAAAATCACATCTGTATAGAATTTTTTCTTGTCATTATTTTCTAAATAATACACTATAGAAGGGCTAGGGAGAGCTCAGGAAGTGAGACGCCTTCTGCACAAACACGAGGACCTGAGTTCAGAGCCCCAGCACCTGTAAAATACAGTGTGCCCATCTCTAATCCTAGTACAGGGGGCAGAAACAGAAGGACCCCTGGGATTACCCGCCAGCCAGCTAGCCATTCAGTGGGCTACAAGAACTGTAAGAGACCCTGTCCCCACCTGCCCCTAGGGGCGGTAAAGTGACCGATAGACACACTGACGCACAGTGCACATGTGCATGTACACATACACAATAGGTATAGCAGCTATTTACATAGGGCTTATATTGGATTACATATTCTAAAATGTAAAAATGGCTTAAAGTAGATTGGAAAGTCTGGGGAGATGGTTCAGCTGCTATAGTGCTTGCTGAGCAAGCATGAGGACTTGAGTTCCATTTCCAGAACCCACATAAAAAAGTTGGGCTTGGATGTGAGCCTTAGCCTTCAGTAGATGATCCAAATAACCTAGGTTTGGGGGTGTATGCTTATATCTCAGTCCTGGGGAGGCAGAAACAGTGGATTCCTGGGACCTGCCAGCATAGCTGAATCGGTGAGATTAAGGGTAAGAAAGACCCTAGCTCACAAAAGGTGGATGGCACTGAGGATGATGGCAAAGTTTGACTTCTTGCCTCTGAACACACACACACACACACACACACACACACACACACACACACACACACACAGAGAGAGAGAGGGAAAATAAGAAAATAGTGTGTGCACTTGCTATTAGCAAATACTGTGCCTCTTAAAAGAGTTGAGCATCTGTGGCTACCAGTGTCCATGAGAAGGTCTTAGAGCCACCCTCTGCATGTCTTGAGAATAGACTGCAGTTTGCATGTCTGTGTGAGTAATGATTATTTTTGTATTATTGCTATAATGACACTTAGTACTCCATGTCTACTTCAAGATAGTTATAGTACTTACTCCAAACTCACAGGGTTGTGTTGTGAAATATTAGTTGAAGATGTGTTACATTTGTTTATGCTGTAGAACATTTGTTTCATGATGCAAAGATGTGTTGCAGTTTTGTGTTGCATTTGTTTAACTCTGTGAAGCTGTATTACTTTGACTGTCTAAAACACTTGATTGGTCTAATAAAGAGCTGAACGGCCAGTAGCAAGGCAGGAGAGGGATAGGTAAAATTGCCAGAAAGAGAATAAATAGGAAAAAAGCAGAAGAGGGAGTAATGAGAGAAGGTGAGGAGGATTCCATGGGCCAGCCACCCAGCCCCCAGCCACCCAGCCACTCAGCCCCCAGCCAGACACAGAATAAGAAGGAAAGAAAAGATATACAGAAATAGAGAAAGGTAAAAGCCCAGAGGCAAAACGTAGATGGGATAATTAGTTAAGAAAAGCTGGCTAGAAACAAGCCAAGCTAAGACTGGACATTCATAAGAAAGAATAAGTTTTTGTGTGATTGTTTGGGTACTGGGTGGTGGGGCCCCCCAAAGGGCAAAGAGGAAAAAACAACATTTTGGCATTCCAATGTGGGCCTAGGAATGCTGGAAAAAAAAAGCATATGGCTCCTTTAAGAGTTTCTGCTGGACAGTGAGCCCTTGAGCAGGCAGTATATTAAGTAGGGGGAAAAAAACCTAAGTAAAAAGTTGCCTGCCACAGTGCAGGGCACTGGCATTCCACAGTTGGGGGTTGAATTTGGTTCCTGGTCAGCCGCACATCCAACCAGGCCAAGAGCTTTAGGCTTCACTTTTGCAGACTGAGAAGTGGGGGCGGAGCCAGTCACATAGCTACTCATGCAGACAACTAGAGATACACAGTAAAGGCAGATCCAGATGGGGAAAAAATCCCTTTAAACAGGTTCCAGTGTGCTTTACAGTGTGTGTAGGTGTAAGAAAGAATAAGAGATGAAAAAAAGAAATTAATAGTTTAAACAATAAAGTCTTTAAAGAGAGAGTAAGAGGCTGGAGAGATGGCTCAGTGGTTAAGTGCACTGCCTGCTCTTCCAGAGGTCCTGAGTTCAAGTCCTAGCAACCACATGGTGGCTCACAACCATCTGTAATGAGATATGGGGCCCTCTTCTGGCCTGCAAGCATAAATGCAGGCAGAACACTGTATATATAATAAACAAATAAAAAATGTAGGTTTATTTAAAAAATAGAGAGTAAGTAAAAGTAATATAAAAGAAAAAAGCCATGTAAGATGGGAAAACACAGAGAGAGTCTGTATCCTGTATGTTATGGTGTTGATTTTAAATTTTAGATTGCTGATAAGCAAAAGACAGCAGCTAAGAGATATGAGATTGAAAGAGGGCCTGCTGAAATAAGCCAGCCTAGATATTTTAAGAATTCCTTAACTTTAAAAATGGAACTAAAAAATGCATTTGGAGAAGAGAGTTTGCTTTTATTTCCACAGGAAATGAATGGGAGGCTGTGGATTCCTTCAGGGTTCATAAGGATCGGGTTTGATTGGGGGAAAATCTCCTGACTCTTGACAGGTAATGTCTATCAACAGAGTGTACCACTGGTCTTCCCAGGCCTCAATCATTATCTAAATTTTCTCAGGGTCCCCTAAAGATGCCTTCACTCATAGCAAACAGGAGACTGTCTAGAGAAAATGATTCCTGCATTCCCAAGAGTTGGGGTGTGGGTGGTGTTTGGTTATTTGGTGGGTTATGATGTTTGTTATCACTTAGGGAAATATAGGATAAAAAGACAGCTATTGATCTCGGATACTTTTCATTAGCATGGATTTTGGTGTAGTGATGCAAATTTAAAGTTATTTTTGTTATACTGTTTATATGTTTCTACTCTTCTTCCAGCCTCAGGTCATGGCTGGCGCCCGTCCATTCTCTGCCTCTGTGGTCTCCTTCTTGCCCCCTTTCCAGTGTCTGTCTCATCCTGCCCCTCCTGCGAGGATACCTGTGATCACACGAAGACTCAGGTAGATAATTATGGTAATCTTCCACTGTTCATTTAACCACAATTTCAAGTCACCACAAATTAGAATCACCCAAGAAGGAGGCTTCCCCTGAAGGACTGCCCTGAACGCTATCATCCGACATGGGAAGCACCTTTTGGTAGTGGCCCAGATTAAAGGGCACGAAGGAAGGAAGGTGGCTTGATTTTGGCTAGCTCAGTCTTCACTCTTGCCCCCTCAGCCTCCCCTTCTGCCACTGAGGCGATTCAGGCTGTCACTGCTGCTGCTGTTGTCTTCAATGGACTAGCCTTTCCAGGCTTCTGTCGTTGACTATGGATCAGCAGCCCTCTGAGAACCTTCTAGGCACTGGATTGCCATTGCTGACCCAGTTTTGTGGACTGAGCATTCTCAGCTCTCAGGTGAGATAACTTGTTACTATTCTGAAGTAAGATGATACAATAATAATAACAATAATAAAGTCATCCTATTGGTTCTGTTTCTTTAGAGAGCTTTAATACAGGTTGTTGTTTAATCATACTTTATAATTCTCTTCTAAATTGTGACACTCTCTCAAAGCTAGGAAAAGAGTAACTTTAAAGAAGAGAAACCCCAACAAATGTGACCTCAGCCAGGTGGTCAAGCACTTTGTTAGTGTGTCCCCCATGACTGGTGAGATGGGAATGGCATCCCACCTTGAAGATGATTCGACCTAAACCATATAAGCCTGGTTCTATTCTGGGAAAAACA